AAACCTCTCAAAAAAAAAAAAAAAAAAGAAAGAAAGAAATATTTGTAGGAAGTGTTTGAGAAATGCAAAACATAATTTTTAATTTGATACATCTCCAATATGGGCTAATGAAGAGCAAGTACATAGATCCATTATCAAATAATAGCTTACCCACTGATGAGAATTAAAATGCTGATATTGTTTTGGGTTTCTTTAGGCATATTGCATTTAATGTATTAATTCAGTATAACATTGATGTCAGAATTAAAGTCAATATTTAGTGTTGTATTGTATATAAACTTATGCATATCTATGTAATATCCATCCTTTTTTATTTTATTTAACTTTATTTATTATTATTATTTTCCAGTTTGATCAGAGAGAGACACAGAGGGAAAGCGAGAAAGCAAGCCACCAGGTCCAAGACTTGAACCGCGGTCGGCCATGTGGGAGTCCAGCAACTTTAACCACCATGCCATCTGCTGGCCCCTATCCATCCATTTTTACACATTGAAAAGATCTTCACATTCAAACTGTAAAATTTTTTGTTGAAATGCCTTTCATACTGGAAGAGATTTTCTCTGTTGAATATTATTTTTTAACCTTCTAGAGCTCAGAATATCACAGTGGTTAAAATTGATCAAATTGGGCTGGTTCCATGGCCTGGTGGTTAAGGCAGTCATATCCCGCATGGCCAACTGCGTGGTTTGAGTCCCAGACCCAGCAGCTTAAGAAACATGCCAGGTGCATATATATGCTTGCCCCAAATCCCCAAAGGAGAGGGAGATAGAGGAGAAGGGACTGTTGTGTGACCATTCCCTGTGTGTGTGTAGGGGGGAGGCTCTTTCACCTCGCTCTCTCTCTTCTCTGGCAAGTACATGTGCCCTCTAGCAAAAAATTAAAATTAAAAAAAATTGAACTATGAGATTTCCTGGCCTTTTCTTACATTTGAGTGGTTTTATAGTTAAATAATAATGGTTTCTTACAGGAACAGCTGAAATACAAAAGTAAATTCAATTTTGTGAAATTTGATGGTCATGCAGTTGCTTGGCAGGAAAAACTTACTGAAATCAATGAAGATAATTTGCAACGGGCTCAGTCCTGGATTAGAGACATTAAGGTAAAATGGAGACTAAATCTGGGAAAAGCCTCACTTTCTAACCTATGAACTAAGTTTATTCACAGGATAGAAATTCTTGAAAAGTGTTTTGAGCTGTAAGGATGGCAGTGGCTTCACATAGACGTTTTGTTTACAAAGGTCACATTACTCCATTTCATTAGTCATGGTAAAACTGTGGATATGCCTTTAATTCACAGTATTCCCATATTTGCACATCTGCCTTTGGCTCAGGTTTAGCCTTTTTGAAGTCAAATTTCAAGATATAATTTTTTTGGTACATAGTAGATTCATTCCTTCTGAAACTGCATTAATGTTTCAAGGGATATATTGCAGCTATTTTTTTAAAAAAATTTAGTTATTATTTTCCAGTTTGATCAGAGAGAGACAGAAAGAGAGAGAGGGAAAGTGAGAAAGCAAGCCACAGGTCCGGGACTCGAACCACGGTTACCCATGTGGGGATCCAGCACCTCTAACCACTACGCTACTTGCCAGTCCGTACTGTAACAGCTATTCTTAACAGTGAGCTTTGTTCAAAAGTAATGAACATGTGCAGTATAATCTGAATGTTTAGGACTAAAAGCAAGATGAGGGATGGGGCAGTAGGATGCAGTGATAAGGTGACATTTAACTCTCTTGGACCTGCATTTTACTGAAAGACCTTTAAAGCCACTGTTCTTGCCACTTTCCTAAACTACCGGGGAAGGTTTTCCTTTGCCTAACTTTTCTCTTGACTTGAATTTATCTGAATTTAGAAAGTTCTTCAGAATAATAAAACATTTGAGAAACACTAAAATTGAGATTGAGTTGTTCTTTAAAAAGTCAAATATTGATCACAACATCTTTAAAATAGTTCAGTGCTGGGACAAGCAGATGTTGTAATTGTTACATTGCTGGACTCCCATGTAGTTTACAGTGGTTCGAGTCCTGAGCCCAGTGGCTTAAAACTCATGCTAGGGGAACCAGCAGTTAGCGTAGTGGCTATGTTGCTGGACTCCCACGTAGTTGACCGCGGTTCGCGTCCCGGACCCGGTGGCTTAAAACTCACGCCTGGCATGTGTGTGTGCGTGCCCAAGATCCCGAGAGGAGAATGGAGGAGAAGGGATTGC